ACAGAGCTGAAGCCAAAATAATAATTATCACCTTTAAAAAACTATTCTGAGTAGCAAAGCTGGTGCTGAGCACCATGGCCAGTCCAGGAGACTGACATAGGGCATGAGGCAGATCCCAGAAGAAAAACCTTTGCTCGAGGAGAACAAGCCAGAGGGAATTGATTCTAACAGACATAACTCAGCTGCCAAAACAATTCAATGTACAGTTTCACACCATCCTCACCATCATGACTTTTTATCCTCATATTTGAAGTCCAGCTGTGCAGTTACTAAGCTACAAAGTGAGCAAGTTTTGTGATGTTACTGGTGAAAATAAAAGACACACAAAACAACAAGGCTGGATCTGCTGACAGCTACTTTAAACTGGTTTCTTACACTTTCATGTAAGAAGGGATTACCACATATATGCTTTTCTTTGCATCTTAATGCAGGATTTTGTTATTTTATTTTTAAACTCCCCCTGTGATCTCAGGAGATTGCACCAAATTTAGAACTCTAAAATTATTTTTTGACTGTTCAGTATAACTAATCCCTATATTTGACACAAAACAGCCACAATTTCCACTGCTGCCCTGTGCAACAGGGGATAAGCCAAAAAAAAGGGGGGAAAAAAAATCAATATATCAACCTGTACTCTGAGTTTTTGAGTTGTTTTCAGCCCTGGGACATGCTACAAATGCAGCAGCAGCTTTACCACAAGCCAGCTGCATCTTGCTCCTAAATAAAGGCAGTAAATCCTCAGTTCCTACCCAGTTCAACCCTGAACATGAAGAAACATCTTTGCTGGGAAGTGATGAGTAAGAGGATTGCTTGGAAATACAGCACATGGAAAAATCAGTCCCTCGTCTCCCAGCTCAGGAGTTGGATGGCAGGACAGGACTCTGTATTTGCCCCTCTGCCCCTGGTAGAACTGCAGCATTAATGCTGCCAGCATGACATGACAACTGCTCAAGAACCACTGAATTAAAAAAAAAAGGATTCAGAGGTTCAGTTTACCTAGAAAACAGATTGTGCATTTGAAGAGAGGTTCACTTTGCCCATAAAGCATCCAAAGTATGTGCTCACAGCCCCGCGCTGAGAACAGAGGAACTGAAAGGGCAGAGCAAAACCTGCTCTGTGCCAGACAGGCCTCTGTAAACACCAAAAAGTGACACCTATTGACCTGCCAGCCCCAAACTGACTAATTGAGCAGGAAATCTCCAACCCCACAGCTCGTGGGTTGGGGACAGTCACAGAAATGATGGCACCGAGGTTTTCCACAGAACTGCCAACGTCTCCCCCTCGCAGGACAGAGCAGATGTGACCACACATCCGTGCCACGGCAAACCCTGTGACGAGCTTTTTCCCCACTCCCCAGAGCAGGAAATGAAACCCAAACAAATAGATTCTTCGTGCAGAGGAGGACGTGCAACACAGACAACTCTCAAACCATCCCTGCAGCCCACAAGGCTCAGCTGTTTGTGCCAACACAAGGAACCCCAAGGGACAAATTTCACCCTCGTGTTGTCACAAATGAAGAAGTGTTTGTTACTGGCTCTTCTCGCAAAGGAACTGGAAGTGGAGGCAGCGTTTTACCAAGCCATTTAAACCAGTGTGATCCAAACACACCCCAAAATGAGTCTCCTCCCAGATGGCAGTAGCCCCGTTCCCCTGTCAGCACTGACTCAGGAGTGTGCGTGTGATTTATCAGTTTACAGTTACTTTGCTACTCAAAGACAGCAGGAAGTGACTGGGGAGCCCCAGGAACTGCCTGCAGTGAGGAATTCAGACACAGCCACTTTCTCAGCTGAGTGTGGAATTCCCGGCAGAGTATTCTGCTGCATTTTGGATGGGTAAAGCTTAAATGTTCTAGACATTAAACTCCCTCTGTCCCTTCCCACAAATGAAAGGAAACTGGACTCTCTTACACCACTAAAACCTCACCTGTCTGTGCAGGGTTAGGGTTACACCACCTTCTTGCAAGTTTTCCAAAACACTGACTTTCCAGTAAGTAATGGGATAGCAACTTGAAAATTCCACTGCTGGTTTTAAAAAGCTGCAATAAAATCAAGCCTGGAAAACTTTGACTCGCTGATAACACTGGGAAGTACACGAGAGGAATTGCTCAGGCAGGATTTCCAACCTGTGCTCCCACCAGCAGAAATACTGCAGTAAATACCCATTTTATTCACAAGCGACTGCTGAGCATGATCACAAATAACTGGCATAAATTAAAAAAAAAAAGAGGTATCAGGGAGCTGACAGGCTGCTATCAGCACCAGCAGCTGCTTTGCCAGCCTGGTGCAGAACCCTCCGGCCTGGCCTCGCCCCCGGCACCAGGTGGGGTGTCCGGGGTCGTGTCAGTGGTCACGGACCCAGTGCCGAGGGCAGACCCGGCCCGGGGGGTTTCCCCGACCCCGCAGCCCCCGGCGGGCAGGCGGATCCCTGGAGGGGGTCAGCCACACCCTGGAAGCGTCCAAGGCCAGGCTGGACGGGGCTTGGAGCAACCCGGGGTCGTGGAAGGTGTCCCTGCCCGTGGCAGGGCGCGGGACGGGGCGGTCCGTGAGGGCCCCCCCCGGTGCTCCCCGGCGGTCTCACCTCCTCGCTCTCGCCGCGGTTGCCGGCCGCCAGCCGGGACACGTTCTCCAGCACCTCGCAGAACTGCTCCAGGCTCACGGCCTCGTCTCCGCGGCTCAGCCGCTCCTCCAGCCATCGCACCAGCGCGCTGTGGTGCCGCGACACGAGCGGCTCGGGCAGGGCCGCGTCCCGCAGCCGCGCCGTGGCCTCCCGCAGCCGGGCCTGCTCCAGCAGCACCTCGGCCGGCGGCAGCGCCGGGGCGGCCGCGCCGGGCTGGGGCGCGCCGCCCGCCGGCCCCTCCATGCCCTCCTCGGCGCCTTCCTCCTCCTCCTCGCTGCTGTGGCTCGCCGCCGTCCCCATGAGGCGCTCGGAGCCCCGCAGCCGCCGGTGCCGCCCGGCCCGGCCCGGCCCGGCCCGCCTTAGTCAGCAACTTCCCGCCCGCCGCACCTGTCAGCGCGGGCCGCCGCAACGCCGCAAAGCGCGCCGCGACACGCCGCCGCACAGCGCCACACCGCCGCAAAGCACGGCGGCGGGCGTCGTAAAGCTCCCCCCCACCCCAGTGACGTGAGGGGGAAGGGGAAGGAGGAGGAGAAAGGAAGGAGAAGAAGGGAAGGAAAAGGAGAAGATGGAGGAGAAGGATAAGATAGTGAAGAGGAGGAGAAGGATAAG